GCGCTTTACCATATAAACTATTTTTTTTTGGCAAACCACCATATAAACTACACGTTCTTTTCACTTTACCCTCTAAAATCATATTTAAAGTGGTTTTGTAGCAAAAAAGCTGATTTGCAAGGACATTTTAGGAATTACAAATTTATAGAATATTGCAAATACACCCAAAGGACCAAACGATAAATTATAAACTATTTAAATGTACAAATTAACCCCACCTCTTTGTCAAATTCTCAATTAGTAGCCCATTTTTTGTTCATTTTTATTTAAAAAAAAAAATCAAAGATCTGCAACACGCCTTCATCGACTAACCCTCACCACCATTGACAAACCCTTGTTCTTGCACCTCAGAAGGCCGACCAAAACCATAACTGCTGCCTTAATCCGAGCCCTCCTCCAGCACAATCGCAAGCTGCAGCTCTCTGGTGAGACTCCCCACGTCGTGGTCATCACCTCAAGCAAAGGCGGCAAGACCACCACCACCGCCAACATCGGCCACTCCCTAGCGCGCCTCGGCTTCTTTGTCGTCGCCATTGACGCGAACGTCGGCCTCCGCAACCTCAACCTACTCATCGGCCTCGAGAACCGCATCAAATACACAGTCATCGAGGTCCTCGAGAAGACGAATTTGGATCGGGAGGATTCGGGCTTTTCTTCTTCAATTCCCCCAATTTCTGCTCGACCACGGGATGACGGTGACAAATTCGCCTGGCCAAAAATACCAAATTTTTGCTGGAAAACTCAATTTCTCAAATTTCCCCAATTATCATATTGTTCTCTTTGATTTTAGCTGGAATTTGGGGGAAATAGGGGAAAAATCAAAGAGTGCACTAAGTTCATTCAAGAACAATACAACTATTTTATTGTGTTCCAAAAGGCAGAAATATTGAATATATGGAACAAACAAAATACTGCTTGAAATGAGAGAGAGATCTTCAAATCGCAACACCGTCTAACAAGAACAGTACAGCTAAATTGGGCTTTTTTCCAGTTCTTTTTTTATATATTTTTGTATATTTTTAAATATACCAAATACCCAAAATATCCTCAAAAAACCAGTTTCAATGAAGTGAAACCGAGCTTAAACATGGTATAGGGAGCAAGTTGACAAACCCACATAATTCAGAGGGTGGTTTGCCAAAAAACATAGTTTATATGGTAAAGCGCGAGAATCGTGATAGTTCGGATGGGAAAAAGTTTTTTACCCAAAAAAGTATGATAAACTCTAAAAAAATGTGAATTGCTATTTACCATGTATATTTTTTATATTTTTTTTACTTTATAAATAATTTTTTAATTTTTTTTTTATTATTTTTTTCGCATCCGGC